AGGAAGGTGTGGCTTTTGTGAGTTGAAAGACAATACTGCACTTAAGAAACTAGCTTGGTTTAATTGGAGAAGTCATCTGACTTCCCAGTTCACTGGGTTTAGGTAGGACATTCCATCATGAAGTCTGCAAAACATGAATGCTACAGTTCAAACCAAACGACTGCAGAGTACCACAGGCTTCCAGAACTGGAGAGCATCATTTTGAACAGAACCAGCCTGCCCTTCTGCAGAGGAATGACACCAAAAATAGGTGTTAATAAAAGAAGTAAGATCCCTAGAAAGTAGCTATGCAGATTAAACATTTTCCTAAAGCAGTCTTACATCACAGAACAACCTTAAAGTCTTTATTTTTGCTTTTGGCCATAGGGCAAGTGCATTCACTGGAGAGAGACAAAGAAAGACAAAAAACAAGAGAGAAAATGAGGATTCACTCCCAAGGAGGGATGGCCATAACATAATCCCTTCTCTTCCATTCTCCTCTTGGGATTTTGGGCATGCACACACAGGTGCCCAGTTGCTTTTCAAGTTGCTGAGTCCAGGATTTGAACCACAGAGTCAGTTGTGTGGGATCCTGCATCTTAACCACAATGCCACCTGCTGGCCCAAACACCTTAAACTTTTTTTTTTTTCCTTTCTTTTTTCTTTTTTATTGGGTGGAAAATAACCCTTTTTATTTATTTATTTATTTTTCTTCTTCTAAACATCTTAAATTCTTTAAAACATAAAAATACCTTCAAAGATAAGGGAATATAAACTATGAACAAGTGGGAAATTTTAAAACTGCTCTGCCTTCTAAAGTTAATTTGAGAATTAAGTTACAAGAAACATAATGCTACATTTTCCTAGTAAATACTAACCTAAAATTTTGCTGACTGATTAAACCTATTTATTATTTTCTTTTACAGTCATTAAGACTTTTCAAATGAACATATAACAATTTAATGTGTGGGACCAGCAGATGGGTGTAACAGTTATATCACTGGACTCCCACATAGTCAACCATGGTTCGAGTCCCAGACCTCGTGGCTTAAACTCACACTGGGCAAGTGTACGTGTGTGCCCAAGATCCCAAGAGGAGATTGGAGCAGAAGGGACTGCGGCATGACCATCCCTCCTTGGCGGGGGGTGTGTGTTGATTTCTTACTTTCTGTCTCTCTGTCTCTGTCTTTCTGGCAAGTACACACACCCTATAGCAAAAATCTCTCTATGAAAAACAAAACAAAACAATTTGCTATAGGGTACATGTGTTCGCCAGAGAGAGAGAGAGAGAAAGAGGGAGAGAGAGAAAGCAAGCCATCAGGTCTGGGACTCAAACTCCTGTCGGCCTTGTGGTAGTCCAACACCTTAACCACCATGCCACCTGCTGGACCCATCACAAAATTTTGTTTTTGTTTTTGTTTTTTGGGGGGGAGAGGTTTTCGCTATAGGGCGCGTGTGCTCGCCAGACAGACAGAGAGAGACAGAGAGACAGAAAGTGAGAAATTACCCCCCAGCGGAGATGGCCATGGCGCAATCCCTTGGCCTCCATTCTCCTCTCGGGATCTTGGGCACGCACACACACGCGCCCGGCGTGAGTTTTAAGCCACCAGGTCTGGAACACGAACCGTGGTCGACTATGTGGGAGTCCAGCGACATAGCCATTACGCTAACTGCTGGCCCCCGTATACCAACATTTTAATTAAATTCTCTGCACCCTTTTCTCTTTCTTCCTTCTTTTCCTTTTTCTGTCCTTCATTCCTTTTTTTCTTCTTTAGAGACTTTTGCTATAGGGATGCATGTGCTTACGGCAGAGACAGAGAGGGAGAAAGTAAGAAATCCCCTCCCTGGTGGATGACCATGCTGCAATCCTGCTCCTCCACTCTTCTCTTAGGATTTTGGGCACACATGCACATGTGCCCAGTGTGAGTTTTAAGCCACCAGGTCTGAGACTCAAACTATGGTCAGCCATGTGGGAGTCCAGGGCCTTAAACACTATGCCACTTATAGGCCCCAGCCCTTTTTTATTTATTCATGATAGAGCTCAAGCGTGAGTGTGTGCATACATGCATGAGTGGGCGAGAAAGTAAGAGAGAGGGAAGTTCCATAGGGTTTGGTCACTCCACAATCCCCTTCCTCCAGTCCTCGAGCCTCTCAGATCTTGGGCACTTACTTGTATATATCCCCAGCATGTTTCAGGCTGACCAGCCTGGGGATTCAAACCACGTAGGATACAGCTTCATTT